TCAACTCGGTGGCAATGTGTTTGGTTTGGGGCTTCATCACCACCACCATCATCATGAAGCCAACCACGCCTGGGCATCTCTGAAAATGTTGGCATGCACTAGGTGGCTTATTACTTACAACCTTATGACCTGGGTCCTATTATTATCCCCATTTACATATGAGAAAACAAAGCCTGGGGAAGTTGGAATGACTTGCTCAGGGATCCACAGCTGGAGACCAGGGAACCAGGACTCCAACATAACCCGTTCGACGTTGACGTCTAGGCTTGTAGCCGCAGCGCCCGCTGCAGAAGAGGGGCTCCGTGAGTCTGTGGAGAGTAATGTGCTCTCTGCCTCTTCCCTGCTCCTCCCAGGGTTCACCTCCCCACAGCCGGCTCCTACCACTGGCCCAGCACCGGTCTCCACTTGGTCGTGAAAGAGGCAGTGACGGTGGGGATTGGGTTTTGTTCCTGGGGCCAGTACCTAGATGGGATTGCCTCACGGCACAACTGGAAGGTGGCAGGACCTCTGTTGGACATCAAGGCTGAGCCAGGAGCGGTGGCAGCTGTGTACCTCCCCCACTTTGTGGCCTTCCAAAGTAAACAAGCAGGTGAGCCAGCAGGAGGGAGGGATAAAGGGACTGAGGGTGGTGATGGCAATGCAGGTGAAAGGGCTGACATGACATCCTGGGGAGGGGCTTTAAGGCTTTCTCTGAGAGACGGAAGGGATTGTGGAAGTGCAGGTGAGACTTCCCCCTCGTGCCAGCAGGCTCTGGTCTGATCTTCTTTGAAGCCTCTGTCCCCCAGCCTCACGATGCTTTTCATCTGAAGTCCTTTGTAAGTCTCCCTAAATAGAAACGGATCTCCCCAGTAATAGCCAGCATTCCTTAACTGCTCTTACCTCCATGGCATCACTCAGGAACCCAGGGGATGTCTGAGGGAGCCTCCTAAATGTCATGGGAAAGCAGAAATACAAGATAATCCATTTAAAAAGTGAGACTCAGCTGAATAACCAGAAATGCTGCATGCTTGTAGCTGGCAACAGTGGAAAGCCATTAAGGTCCGGAGTCCTGACAGAGGGACGTCCAACTAGGAAATGTAAGCCCAGAGAGGACTACAGTTGCCCGAACCTCCCTCCCATCCAAATGTAAATGTTTGAAGAAACATAAGCTCAAGTCAAGAAATTTCACAAACAATAAACATGTGTGAACTGGTAGAAATGAAAAATACTAAAAGCAGTTCTGTAAAGAATTTAGGTCTTTACAGAACTGGAGTTAGGAGTCACAGAACATAAAATAAGTATATTTCCTATGCATCTCAGCTTCACCCCAGAGCCCAGCAGACTGGCTACCTCAGGTGGAGAGCTCTATGCAAAGTGAAAATGCAGGGCCCCTTGTTCAAAAAGTGTCAAGAATTTCAAGACAGCCACCAAACTGAAAATCACACCTTTTGTCATCGAATCATTCTGCTTCATGGTGACACCACGCGGTGCACAATAGAATTCCCATAGGGCTTGAAAGACAGAAATGGGCCAGTCTCCTGGGAGACAGGAGCAGTTGGGAACAGAGACAGAGTAATGACCAGGCGGCTGGGGCTGGGGGAGCCATGGGCTTCCCCTGCAGAACTCTTGCCATCCTTAAGTTCACTGTTCTCCTTCCTGTCTGTCTGCCTGTGGGACCATGAGCTCTGGAGTTACCGTGTCCATGTACCTCCCTGTCCTCGTTGTTCGCTGATTCAGGATCAGCAAGCCTGCTTCCTCGATGTAAAACTTCTGAAATCGCTTTTGCAATCGTTCTGGGACATTGTGTGTGAGCAGAGAGACAGAGAATGCCAGCCAAAGTTGAATGAGGCTCATTCCGTATTTGCTAGTTCAGTGCTGGGGTGGGAGGGGGCTTTGTACACCCGAGAGACCCTGAGGAAGTGTTCATGCCCTTGACTACTAAACCAAATGTTGGAGGCTCAAGTTCATCCTGAGGTGAATTGGGGAAAGAACCCCTAGTGATCTCCATGTGGAAAATCAGTCACTGGAAAAATCTGTGGAGTGGACTTCTACTTTATGGGAGCAATCAGCCATATTGTTCTCCCCACAGTGTGGCTGGTGGGTTTGAACGGCTGCCCTTGCTGTGAGCAACCCAGTCCTAACCCACTGAGACACTAGGGTTTTTCTTACACACCATAACGACTGTGAATAACAAGGATCATCGCATATCCCCCAGGGCTGCACATTGTTAATACTCAGTCGATTGTGGGTTAGTAAAAGGGTGTGGGGTCAGGGTCTCAGATCCGGCTGCAGAACTCTTCCTACTCCACGATGGCTGTTCGGAATATTTCTAAGAAAAACCAGTCAGAGAGAACTCAATGTAGAGAGTCCCGCCCCTGGGCCAGTAACCCTCAAGGCTCTTGCCTTTCATACCAGGATCTTAGTCACTGTTGCCCTTCTCTTTCCAAACAGCACTAATGCAAGGGGGTTTCTGACACCTTGTGGGAAAATATCCATTATCTTTTAAGTCCATTTATTCATAGCCTTTTTGAAGCCCCCTCGTCTACTGTCCTGGAGCCCTAAAGGCGTCGTGGTTACAAGTTGGGTTTCAATCCGCGAGGACGGCAGTTCAGAACCACCAGCTACTCTGTAGGAGAAAGATGAGTCTTTCTACTTCCGTAAAGAGTTACAGTCTCAGGAGGAGGAGGTGGGGGAAGGGAGCGGTAAGCAAACACCACAGACAAGGGAACAACTAGGGAATTAGAATCAACAACGAGGAGGGTGTAGAGATCCTGAGGGTATTGGAGCTATAGCAACCTACCTGAGAGGAATTATTAAGAGGCAGAAGAAGGGCGAGCATGATGGCGGGAAATAAGGACAGTAAAAGGAAACAGAGGAATGACCTAGGAAGCAAAGTTATGGATAGAGGTATGAACATAGGTGTTTATATATGTAAATACATTAATTCATAAAAATAGAGGTATTGGCCTATGTACATATATTTATATACCAATACATGGAGGTAGTAGACAGATTTTCGGCCTCTGCTCATGCCCTGCCTCAATGCAAAAACACTTTGTTCTAACAACCTGGCATTCTGTGATGCTCACTCTTCTGGCACAATCGCTGAAGACAAAATGGGTGCATAAGCAAATGTGAAAAAAGCTGATGGTGCCCAGCTATCAAAAAATATAGTGTCTGGGGTCTTAAAGGCTTGAAGGTAAACAAGCAGCCATTTAGCAGGGAAGCAAATAAGCCCACATGAAAGAAGCACACCAGCCTGTGTGATCATGAGATGTCGACAGGATCCGGTAACAGGCATCAAAAGCCACAAAACAAACAAACAAGAAAACATATTGTTGAGAAAGAGAAGGGTTGTAGCAGAGACCCAAACCCATCTGTAGACAATGGGACATCCCCCCAAAAGGTCACAAAGAAGGGATGAGTCAACCAGGGTGCAGTATAGCACCGATGAAACACACAATATTCCTCTGGTTCCTTGAGGCTTCCTCACCCCTAACTATCATGACCCCAATCTTGCCTTTCACTGTGGACTAGACTTGTGTATGTACACAGGTACAGATAAGATATAAGAGCTCACAACACAGAATCCAGGAACAGAAATGGGAGTAGAGATACCAGGAGGGTAGAGAGAGGGTGGGGAGAGAAAGGGAGGAAGGGGGAACGTATCACAATGATCGATACATAACCACACACACACACACACACACCCAGGGGGAGGAATAACAGAATTGCAGGAGGAGGGAGACAGCAGTTAGTGTAAGATATGAAAATAATAATTATAATTTATCAAGGGGCTATGAGGGTGGGAGGGGAAAAGGGGGTGGGGAAAGAGGAGCTGATACTAAGGGCTCAAATAGAAAGTAAATGTTTAGAAAATAATGATGGCAACATATGTACAAATATGCTTGATACAATTGATGTATTAATTGTTATAAGAGCTGTAAGAGCCCCAATAAAATGATCTTTTAAATAAGATAAATAAATAAATAAAAGTGGAAAGAAAAAAAGAAAAGAAGAGTTCCAGTCTCAGAAGCCACGGGGGCAGTTCTACCCTGTCTATAGAGTCGCTGTGAGTCAGCATCCACTTGAGGGCACAGGCTCTGTACACGGTCGTGCTTCATGGTCAGAGAAGTGATTCTGCTACAGTCTATGAAAAGGTCAGCATGTGCACGGAGGAGCGTGGCCAATGCACTTCGGCTTGCCCTTGGCTTCTAGCTCACAAGTGGGAGACTCCACTTTCTCATAAGTAACCCAAGCCCTGCATCGAGGAAACCCCTCGGTCCTATGTGAATCGGGATGGTCCAAACCCTAGGAAGAAGGTTAAGTTAGAGATGCACAGAACCTTCCAGAATTCAGGCAGAATTAGCTTGACACAGAGCATCTGCAAGTGTCGGGAACTAGGACACAGGGCTCTCCTCCTGGTACTGCTGTTGGGTGTGTGACCTTGAGAAAGTCACTTCCCCTCCTCCTGGCTTTCAGTTCCCCATCAGGAAGGGAGGGAGGGAGCCCCACTACCGTGGGGGGTGACAGGAGACCTGCCCAGTTAAATGTGGTTCAGGACAGAGCAAGTTGGCGCTATCGCTTTAAAAGGCAATTTAGCAAAACACAGTAAGTCATAAAAATCCTTGTGCCCTTTGGTGATTGTAAGGCAGAGATGTGTGCACCGCGGTATTATTTGTCATGGTGGGAAGTGGAAAGTCCCTCCCTGCTGAAATGAGCGGAATGGTTCCTTACGGGATGTCACGTCCACCCACAGGGATCCTAGGTGGTCAGTAGGAAGGCCGGACTATGCTTGTGACGATGGAAACTGATGAGGGAAAGGCAGGAGACAAAGCTGCATGTACTACGTCTGAAGTGCAAAGTGTGTCCCTGCAAGGGACAGATATATGGTTTCCTTGGTGAGGGTTGGAGGTCAAGTCTTCCTGGATGAGTTCCGACTGTGTGAACATTCTCTTTCATAATAAGCTATTAATAAAGAGAAACTAAAGTAATGGTCACCACAGACCTTTCTCGAGCTGGGGCCCACTCGGGCAAAGACACTTGTCCACGTTGCTGGATGACCTCATCACCCAGAAGCCACCTGCATGGCAACAGTTGCTAGGCAACACCACACTCAAGTTGACTCCAGGCATCTAGTTCAGTGTTTCTCCCACCACTGGCACTCGTCAGAGGTCTTGCGTGCAGTCAGAGAAACCCATTGGACTAATTTAGCCAGAAAAAAATCAATACATGTATGTAGTGCAGAGAGTTAATCAAGGGTTAGGCAGAAGGTTTTTAAAACCAACCACAAAAAAGCAATGACCGAAGGATGTTGGGAAGTCATAGGCATTAAGGAAAAGATGGGGAGCCCTCTGCTGCAAACAGCTACTGCAGGACCCTCCCTGCTATGGTGGCCAGTCTACAGTGTCACTGCCCAAACGACCTCTATCTTTTCATCCTGCTTCACCCTTCCAGACTCCAGGAAGCATGCGTTTAGTCATGTGTGGGAGCTGCCAGGTAGTGGCGGTGTCTGAATGGGAGGCTCAACTTGCCTCCTGGCAAGGCTCACACAATTGAGGGTGTGATGAGGAGGGAGGTGGGTGGC